TGTTCTGGAACAGTGTTGTAAATACAACTTAACCACTGATTTCTAGTCGTGTCCTCTTTTGGAAGGCCAAACAAAGTATTTTCGCTTTCGCAACGAAACACACAGCGTCTTCACAGCATGGCGGCGGCGGTGGCAGCAACAATAAAGTTACGCCTTCTTCCTTTGCTTAAACATTTGGGCAGCGTTATGCAAATCTTCCCACATCGTGACGTAGACATGTGGGGGCGTGTTTAAACGAGGCGTTTTAGGAGGGTGTGAACGAGTCTTAACTTTTATAAAGAATATCTCTTTGGGTTTGAGACTTTAGTCTTTGCAACTTTAGGGATCTTATCTATTCACGAACAGCTTGTAACACTCCAAAGAGAAAGGAAAAATTGAAATCGCATCATATGACCCCTTTAATCATCCAGCAAGCAAAATTATTAGTCTGATTAGTCATATCATTTTTAAATAATATTCATGCAGGGCTTAAAGTTCTCCGGCACCCTGCCGGATCTCCGGCGTGCAGCATTTGGCTGCAGAAAAAAATAATCCTACATTAAAAAAAAACTTGTTGATATCACTTTAGCCAATTAGAAATTTTGCTTTTATAAACACGAGACGCGCATAATAGTATCCAACTGCAGAGCAGTGTTGCCAACTTAGCAACTTTGTCGCTAGATTTAGCGACTTTTCAGACCCCCCTGGCGACTTTTTTTTTCCAAAAAAGCGACTAGTGACAAATCTAGCGACTTCTTGGACAAACCTTAGCGAGTCTCTGTGATCGCTGGTACTGACGCAACGGTGCGAGGTCAGCGTGCACACACCTCTCTTTCTGCATCTGCTCTGTTCAATATAAAGCAGTTTCTATATCTGCATTTTTGTGCAGATTAATGTCTTGGAAGGGAGAGCTGGTTATGTAGCCTTAAAGGGCCGCATTTCAGTCACTATTTCATATTTATTCTGTTGTCTGACAACAGAAACAGTAATACTGTATATATAAATGAAAACAGTTTTATTGAGAATTTGGCTGCATTAAAAAATACAGTATGTGAGCACAGAGAGACAAACAAATGTAAAAGGCAACAGACGCGATGATGTCATGAATATGCTAATTAGCGCATGACATCATCTGGCGACATTTAGCGACTTTTCAAACCGGCTTTAACTACTTTCTATTGAAAGAAGTTGGCAACACTGCTGCAGAGTCGCAGCCCTGATGAATGGAGAAGCGCGACACGTTGAAAAAGCTGCGAGGCGCAATGGTCAAAGATGTCCATCTAACGCATATTTGCATAGAAAAACTAATTAAAAAGCAGCGGAGCTTTGTAAACAGCAGAGTAATCATGTCATCTCCATAAGAACGATATGATTGCCAGAACAAATTTACCGGGATTTTTGAAAAGGTCCTGTTCACACATGATCTCTTAATGGTAATTTACCAGTAGTTTACCAGTAAAGACTGTATGTGTGAAAGGGGCTAATCTCTTCCTCTGTATATGCTGTGAATTTGAATTGCTTAACATTCATCTGGAAAAATTAGCATTTTCTCAATATATTTGTAACGTAAATCATTTATAAACCTTTGCCAACACAGGAGAATACATTGTATTTCTAAATATGCCATTTATTGTACTTCGCAATTTCAAAATAAAAGTTTCTGAGTTTGCATGTGGCCAAATATTAAAATTGAATGGATTTAAACATCATTTAATCACACTGTAATGTGAAACGTCACCAGGCCGTTGGCGCCCTCTGCAGGTATTTGTTATAATACATAATGTACTTAAGTTGGTTATGTTCATATTATGTATAGGCATATTACATTATGTATTTTAACAGTGTTGTTCAATAAAACCATGTAATTACTTGGTTTTGATACTTTATTCGAGCCGATTATTATTGCCTCATCGTTAGTTTATATATAAATAGTCATACTAAAGCCTGGTTTTCACTTAGGTCTATTTGTGTTACTAAAAAGTATCAGATCACTCAGTTGTCAAAATAATCAGTAGATTACTTGATTACCAAAATAATCATTAGTTACAGCCCTAGATTAGTTCAAATATTTCAAAATACAACTGCATTGTTTTACTTTTTGTAATTAAGAGACAAATATTTTGTAATTGAAAATTTCTTTAAAATTGTATTAAAATATTGTATTGTTCTAGTGAACCAAGTATCTGTATTTTGTCTCATCTCGTGAGCTAAGTGTATTGTCACACCCCTAGTGTCGATAAGCAGTGATATAGCTCATAATTTTCCAATTGTATGATATAGCTTTCACTCTTCAGGTCAACCATATATTCATGAAAAAAAAAGCAGTTTGAATAAGGAAAGCAATAACTTTGCCGTAGTATCCTTTCAAACGTTAAAGTTGCCACAGTAGTTGCATGCTTTGCATGTGCTGCCCCATCCCCTCCCACCGGAAAAAAGTTCAGGCTCAGGATTTTTTTTTGCTTTAACCCCTGTTCATGTCCGCATCACCAGTAGTGCAGAACAAGTTACACACTAAAATTAATTCCCTAAACCTAAATATAAAAAGACAGTACGTTGTCTGTTTTTTATTTGAAAAAAATATATTTTTTTCAAATAATTTAATACTTTTATTCCACAAGGATGGATTAAATTCACAAAAAGTGAAAGTAAAGACGTTTATCTCAAAAAAATGCTGTTGAACAAATATTTTGAACTTTATATTCCTTAGACAGAATTTTCAAAGGTTAAATACCTCACACAACATTATTTCACCATCTGTGCGTTGCGCCATCCAAACGCTCACGTCTGTGTTGCTGTCTGGAGCTTACAAGATACAGTGATACTTAATGACAGTGCAAAGAGACAAATCTCACTTCAACTTTATAATGGCATAAACATAAACATGCACAAACATGAAAATACACATTTTTTATGTTTAAAAGGGAACATACACTGTTGTGATGTCTTACTGAATGTGTTAAGTGTAAGTGTGAGTGAAGATGTGTGACTGTAACATCTGAGTCAGCATCTCTCTCTCTCTTTCATACACACACATGCACACTTGCACATGATACACCTACCTAAAAGAATGTTCAGGGTTAATGAAATATTAACATTATCTGTAACATATCACTGACACTGCTGATATAAATTAACCTGTCTTGAACCCAGAACATTCCTTTAATTGCCGACCCAATATAAATGCCATTATATGCTCTTTACAAAAGCAATTAAAATGCTTTCCTTATTATGCATAGATGATCATTACAGCAAAAGAAAAAAAAACTACTTAATTTAGATGGTGATTCTCAGCTCTCTCAAAAGGCCATCTGACAACATAACTGCATTCATTTCAAGTAACGCATAATTTCATTCCTTGTTGCCGTAATCAGTTTTGTGAGTGGAAAGCCGGGGTACGTCTCTTGAAATATTGCTCAGCAAGAGACATAGGAAATCATTATTTGCTGTTACCATGAAATACATGTAGATATCTGGTAATATGAAATCTGTGAGTCAGATTTTTCATACAGCAAACATTTCATGGAAAGAACATGAAAGGAAACTCGCTGAGAAATAATCCTGGTGGAGAATCCACGCCTCGGGCACGGAGTGAGTGTACGTGAGAGAAAAAAAGATATGAAGAGAGAGGGAGACAGCAAATAAGACAGTGAGAGACAGTATGAGCGAAAAACAGCAAAGGATGATGGGATGTATTTTCCTGATTGATTCATATTGTGCTGCACACCACTGATTCACACTGCTGTACATTTTAAAGGGACAGTTACCCAAAATAAGAGTAATTCTTATTATTCTTTACTCACACTTGTATTTTTACAGCTCCAATAAAACAGAGAAACTCACAGAAAGAATCACAGTTCAGGTTTGGAATGACATGAGGGTAAGTAAATAATGACAGAATTATAATTTTTTCAACCCACATGCATTTAGACCACATGACCCAGTAATCAACATATGCTGTAGAAATTCTCACCATCTCTCTCGCTAGTCCAACCTTTACTTATTCTTCCTGCTATCTCCTATCTTTCCATCCTTGCTTTGTGAAAAACGCTAACACACAGTCACACACACCATCAAATCTCCAATGGGCCGGGTACATATTCAGCAGTCGTAAAAGCCAGCATTTAGTAAATCAAACAGGGCTGAAAAAGGGTTATCACTGCTCAAGCATGAATAAATATCTGGGTAAGATGTTAACCAGGCTGTAGGCAAATATGCCACTGAAAGTGACAAAAATGCACCAGATATTTAAAATGCTGATGCAAAAAATGCCAGAAATAATAATATTAATAATAATAATAATAATGTTGAAAAGTAAAAATAATGCTTGCTTAGTTTGAAAAACAAAACTGTTAACCTGTTAATAATCATTCCCACTTTATTTTCTGACATGGACCAGTATTGCCATAATAATACACAAATAGCTCTCATTCACTCCGGACAACCCTCTTGCTTCATATTTCCATACACTCACTATACTAGTGCCAATTTCAACATATCTAAACATTTCTGAGGGTTAGGTTTAATTTAGTTTAAATTTAGATTTATTTGCATAGAGCTTTTCACAGTGCAGGTTATTTCAGTTCAGGGGAACTCCTCAAGATGTTCAAGTTGATGAAGAAGAAGGTTTAACAACCTATTATATTTTATTTCTTAAGTACCCCAACAGTTACATAAATGATGCTCTAGCACCTATTTATAAACACGAAACCAGAAAATTGTGCCTAAGACCTATTATATTTAAAAAGCCACTTATAAATAATCAAGCAATACTGTGTCTAAAACAAAATCACGCTATAAACATTTTTTGTTTTATTTCCTTATTTCCATGTGCCCCTTGCAATCTACTTGAACGATGTGTGTGTTGCCATGTACACCAGCAGGTGTAGTGTCTCCCTTGTCCAGATGTAACTGCATGACGCTGTGCATTTTGTAACATGTCCATTTACCAGGAAGTACAGACATGGCCCCTTAATTCTTATGTATATGTATTTACACGTACGTGTATGCCAGAGGACACTTACCTGCTCTTTTGGCAGGCGGCGCAGATATAGCCCCTCTCGCTCTGACTGTAGGTGCGGCAGGATTTGCAGACGTTGTAGTGGCAGTCCAGACACGGGTGCTTGGGGTTGAGCAGGAAGGTAAAGGGAGAGCAGCAGCGGATGCAGCAGTGCTCGTTGAACTTGTGCTGCTTGGACAGAAGCAAACAGCGACTACCCTCCTCTTCCAGCTCCTGCTTCATTTCACTACAGAGAGAGATGGGGGGATTGGAGGGGAGGGGTTGGAGGAGAGCGAATGAGAGAAGGAGTGGGAGGGGTTAAAGGGAGAGGAGGGGGATGTGAACAAGGGGATGAGAGAGAGAGAAGGAGAAAGGTGAGCAAGTGCATCTGAAGGAGAGGTTGAAGGCGCACAGTCATGCAGAATAATTGGAGATTCTGTGAGGAATGAAAAATTAACGGAAGAATAATTCTGCAGAAGTGTGGGGCATACGGATACAGTCTATTTAATTTCTCTTTGTCAGTCTCTGTTTATACACACACACAAACAGACACGAATATGTGGATAAAGTCACAACAAAGCTGGACTGGGACTGAAAAACGGAACACAGCCCACAGCAGATACCCACTGTAGTGCTGCCCTCTGAAATCTAGTGAGCTGTATTGATGGTCACATTTAAAACACTCTTTAATGAAGCTTCAAAACATTTATAAGTCGTTCGCTTTAAATCATTGGTTTGGATTTTCTATCAAACTCGCAAACTCATATGATTTCAGCAACCAAGGCTTTATTATGTCATACTGTTTCGAGCTCTGGGGTGCTTCTCAAATGGAAGGCTGTATTCTAGTGAGGATGCATCGTTTAGTCTAGTCCTTCTGAGTCCTGCCCATGGTAACAGCACAAAAAAAAAAATACTATATTATACTAAATTATAATCTGAGGAATACATTAAATTGAAAATGTATCTTTCTTTTGTGGCCTATTTCTATTACAATATGACTTTCTGTTAATGTAGAACAGGTAGTGACAACCGTCTGTGGTTTCCCTATGGTTTACATTATGCACAGTTTAGCATTATGTGATTAACTTACAGCAATAAATAAATAAATAAATCGAATGATTCATCACTAGGAGGCGATGATCTTGTGAACCCATAATTAATTTTGTTACACAAAACATTAAAATTCTAAAAAATGTAACAAAAATGAACAGGAATGTTTTATCAGAGCTTAAATCTTCTGGGTCTGATCTGATTTCAGTTTTCTGACTCGTTTTGGCTATATAGTTATAGCCATAGCAATTCGTTTGAGTGTGTGTAATTATGTATGTGTGTGCGTGTGTGAGTGGATGTGTCTGTTTTGCACTCTTGATGTTTTAAAGTGAAACCCTTTCCTTGCTGTCCACTTCTTTACTGCATTGTAGTTGAATTATTGCTTTTATTTTACATATTTGCTGTGTTACAGTCACACCAGTTCAAAGGTATGTGTGTATAAGTGTGTGTACACGTGTGTGTGTGAGTGGATGTGTTGGTTTTGCACCCTTGATGTTTTAGAGTTTCACCCCGTCATTGCTGTGAACTTTTTTTCTGCATTGTGGCAGATTTTTAGATTGTTCTCTGAATTGTTGTGTTTTTTTGATTTCCCATTCATTTCCTATGGTCGGTCATTTTTGACCGAAGACCACAATTGTAACTATTTTTTTTATGACCACTTAGCCTGCTCGAATCATGCCCTCAATTTTTTGTGTGTGTTCACATTCCAAATGCCATAAAAGTCACCAAGTATCGTGCCATTCCGATGAAGCTGTGATTTTTAACAATTCAAAACAGAATATTTTTTGGACAAAAGAGACTGAAGAGCACCAGAGGGTTAAGTATATTTAATTATTTATAATTACATTTCATAGATTATATTTTTATGAAAATATTTGCAATGAATCACTTTTATTTCTATAGATATACAGATTGTGTCAAAGTATCTTCACAGTGATAAACAGAATAACAACAGATTCAATTATGGAAACTCAAATACGGAGAAAATTCAGATTCTGCTGTAAAGCAGCTGTAAAAAGATAATAGTTTCATTAATCAGCTCAATCACTTCAGTGTTGGTTCAGGTCTGATCAATAACAATGTGAAGTTCATCAGTTTCATCAATTTGATTAAAAATGAGGACAATTCAGCTATAAGCATTTCTAAAAAAAAGACATCAATGTCGTTCTTTTTTCAGCTGGAGGCAGTTGAATGTTGATTCAATTCAGTTCAATAACAGTGTCAATGTTGCAAGATGCCACAATAGTGCCATCATCCAGCTTAATTCAGTTCAAGTTTTGTTCTCATCCAATTGTGTCATATCGATAAATTTCTGAAATGTAAGTGTCCTTCAGACCCCAAATAACCAAGCCAAAAGGCAATAGTGGCAAGAAGCCCAAATTCCATCAGGTGATCCTGTAAAAAAAACTTACAGGAGAATCCAGGCTCAGTCAGGGGACCAGTTCTCTTCTGGCCGAAGCGAACGAACATGGTATGATATTGATAAAATGATATTGAGATACATCGCACCAGCATTAGGTGGGAAGGAGTTGTAGTCTGTTACAGGATTTAGTCTACTTATAGTACTGTAGTCTGCCAGTAATTTAAGACTGGCTTATCGGTGGTCTTAAGCATGATGAACGTGTTTTTTGATAAAACTTCACAACAACACTAGGAAGACTGTTCCAGTGTTTGGATGCTAAATAGGAAAAGAATCTAGCAGCCACAGTCAACGTTGTTATTTTAGCAATTATCAAATGTCAAACATTTTGAGAATTCAATGGACATATAGGTCTGTAATGTGATATGAACTTGCTCAATGAGGAGCTAAACTGAGGAGCTAAACCATTCAGGGCTTCTTAAGTAATCAGAAAATATTTAAAATTGTTATGATGTTTAATAGGCAGCTAACGTAACGCTGACAGAACAAGGCTAATGTAGTGGTTCTAGTAACTAGCTGCTCCATTTTGTGTACTAAGCTTGCAGGACAGCCACCCAGTAATGCATTACAATCTAGCCTTGAGGTCATAAATTTATGAATTAACTTTTCTACAACTGACATTGAGAGTATAATGTATGTCATAATTTAGAGACAGATTTAAGATTGAAAAACACAGTTATACAAATGCTAGAAATGTGACCTTCAGATGACAGATCACTGCTATATAGCACACCCAGGTTCTTGACTGATGACGAAGACTTGACAGAGTTAAGCATCTAGGCCTAGGGTTAAGCAGTATTCTGTTTGTTTGTGTGTGTGTGTGTGTGTGTGGAAGTTTTTGATCCAATAATTAAAACCTTTTTTTCTTGATTTTTTTTTTTCTTGAATTTATTAAGTTACTAGTTATCTGATTTTTGAGAAGCAGTGGTCCTGAGACTTGTGGTTCTCCATAAAATTAAAGCATCATAACTTGTGATTGATATGATACCTCTTTATTTATTAGTGCAGGGGGCAGTGCAGGGGTGCCTAAAGAACCTTAACACAACGCCTAAAAATGTGTTGTGAGACACAGCAACAAGGCAGCGAGATATATTGCGACTGCCAAGATGCCAGTCTAGCTCAAGTTTATATAGACAAACAATTAAAAAGCAGCGCAATGGAACACAAAATAAGGTTTAGGATCTGACTGCAACCGTGACAGAATACCGGACCAGACTGAAAGTGAGCTCTTCTCCCCGTTTTTTTTCCATTTTGAAAGATTTTTGTTTTCCTTGTTTTCCCCGCGGCTATGGAAATTGCCGCTCAGTTCACCGCCTTAGCTCGCATGGATCTCCCCTTCGTTCAGTATTCCTGGGAGTTCTGCAGGCTTGCCGTGGCTGCCCAGTTTCCCCGTAACCCAAGGAGGAGGATGAAGAGAAAATGACTGTTCTCTGCCTTCATCCTAGCCCCAGAGCTAGCTCCAGTGTCGGATCCAGCCCCAGAGCTCGCTCCAGTATCGGCTCCAGCCCCAGAGCTCGCTCCAGTGTCGGCTTCAGCCCAAGAGCTCGCTCCAGTGTCGGCTCCAGCCCCTGAGTTCGCTCTAGTGCCAGCTCCTCGAAAGCGCCTTGCTGTGCCTGCTCCTCCAGAGCGCCCTGCAGTGCCAGCTCCTCGTAAGCGCTTCCCTGATCCCCCGTTGAACCCAGGGACGGCCTCGGAGGCTGCTTTGCCATGGCCTCCTGAACTACCTGCTCATGGGTCTCCTGGGCTGCCAGATCCGCCATGGCTCCCTGAGTCCCCTGCTCCGCCATGGCCTCCGAGTCTGCCTGCTCCGCCATGACGCACCGAACTTCCAGATCCGCCATGGGTCTCGGAACGGGCGCCGCCCTGGAGGCCTTCCGTCCGTTAACCCTGTTCCTAGAGGACTCCAGAGCA